GCGTGTCCCATATTTTTCTAGTTTCAAAATGAACTAATTGCCAAAAATTCATTCAAAAGCGCAGTCTAATTGTGCTTAATACGACAAACGTTTACAAATTATGGAGGACGAAACCCCGCTACAACGAGAGATAAGGTGAAAGTCTGAGGTAAACCAGAATACCAAACAACCATCTGACTCCCTGCACTGAAATGATATTGCTCCACTCAGTGGACACCACAAATTTGAGAACCGTACTCCGCTTGTTGCAAATAGGGGTGAAGCGATGAATAATAAAGTGACTTTTGAAATTCACAATGGATCACAGGAATATGCGGACCACTCTATTGCATTAGACGCTGTGTGCGGTAGAACACCTATATCTCGCACTTCTGATTCAAGATCAAAATTGGTTACTGGAAGACCTCCAACAGGCCGTAGTTTCACGGTTAAGCATGATAAGCCGACCAAGCCAAAAACGACTGCAATCCAGAAAACTAGTGATGAAGACGGTGCTTCAACCTCGATAATCACTTCTGGCAGCCATATAGGTTTTCTTAATTTTCTTTCCCGCATGCGAAGTGCTAACAACGTGGATCAGCGAATACCTGCTAAATCTCAGTTGCATGCGAAAACGCTACCTCAAGACTGGAACTGTAATGTCCTGCTCTGGACAGTTGCCCAAGCTCCCCAAGCATATCGATGGATCCGGTCAAACTGATCGTTAGTAAAAGGGCGGTTGACCTAGATTTATCGCAAGTGTTACTGGGTGACTGCATCATCATTTCGTTCGGATAGACACATCCATTGGCCATAAAGTTGTAGAAGACGTTCCATCATCTTTGCACTTTACACACGGTGTAACTGGGTACCACCACTTTCTTCATATCTTACAACTATCTTACTCTGAGATCCACACACTACGCTCATTTGTTTTGGTGAATAATCCTTATATTTATACCTGAATCTTTGTGACATGTCTAACAGTCAGCTAACTATTTTCGGATACGACAAGTTTATGAGAAATTGGTCTAATCATCGAGGTGGCGGCTGGGTAATTTAACTGAAAAAATCGCCCGCATCAGTCATGTTCAAGAACTCAGTGCTGAACGATGTCCAGGAATCGCTATGGTTTACGATATCTGTTAATCAGCAGCAGTTGCTAATGGGAGGTATCTACAGCGTGCCAAACTGCAGCCAAGAAGACCCAGAACTTTTGACGCTTGCATTTGCATGCGCCGCCAGCCCACTATTTACACATAAGATTATTGGAGGTGATTACGAACTGCCATCGATTTCATGGCCCATTGGAACCGCTCCTTTGAAATGCCAAGTTCTTATCTCTTGTATCAATGAATAGCTGACAGCAGCACGTCTCCCAACCTACCGAAGGTGAAAGTACTCTGGATCTGATTTTCTCATTGGGCATACCTGCAATCAGTGTTAATGTTCTCGATGAATTTCCGGGGAGCGATCATCGCGTGGTCAAATGCCACCTAAGACGCATAGCCGATGTACAAAAACAATGCGTTATCATTTGTTCAGTTCCGTCAACTGAAACTCTTTCAAGGACCTGGTTCGTTCGATGAATTGGGATAACTTCTTTCACCCTTCATGTCCTCAACAAGCGGTATAATTGGCCTCTGCTTCAATTAAGCAGTACCACTAAAATGTGCTTACCAAACTATACATAAGGCCGATCGCAAAGCGTTGAAGACAGCAAGAAAACTGCATAAGATTCAGCGGAAATTCAGGTTAATTGCTGACTTTACGCGGTAATTACAGCAGTCCAATATCGTCGAACAACAAAGGTATCAAAATGACAAAACTCTCATTCGAGAAGAGTATAAAGCTGCGAACGGCCCCAGCAAAACAGCTGAACTACACAAACTATTCCGTGCCCGGGGTTCGCGTCACAGCAACAATTTCAATTTTGTCACCACGCCTGATGGAACATACTTCGACTCATCAGGTGGTATCTGCGAAGCTTTCAGTGCTTATTTTGCCGAATCAATGATCAGTGAATCCTCAGACACACCAGTACTTCTCATGCCGTACCACAGTGAAAGTCTGCACAGCGGAATTCACTATAGCGAAAATCACTGGTCAAGTCTCTCACTTATGCTCTTCAACTTGCGCAGGCCCTGATGGGAGCCCCCTTCTTTAATAAAAAGCAGTGGTAATGGCTCCCCTTTACTTTTGCTCAACATCTTTACACTCTTTTAACAACGGAGTATACCGTACTCAATAGAAAACTTCTGTCGTTATCCCGCGACACAAAAATTGCGCCGCTCACGAGGTTAAAAACTTTCGTCCCATCAATCACACACCCATCGTATCTAGAATAATGGGAAAGTAAGAGTTGAACCATTTGTACTCCTGAACAAGACTAGCATCATAAGCAATTCGCAGCATGGCTTCATGCAAGATCGGTCCTGCGCCACACAACGGCTGCCATAGACAACGGAAACGGTGTTGTAATACTGTTCCTGGATATGCAAAAAGCCTTTGATAGAGTGCCTCACAGGTTACTGAACAAATTATAGTCCATGGGTTTTGGAGAACCGATGTTTTCTTGGCTGTCTTCATATCTATTTGGTAGACAGCAGGTGATGCGCATCGGCGACCATTTCTCTAAACAGAAAGCAATCACCAATGTAGTGATTCAATGAAGTGTTCTCGGCCGTCTTCTTTTTCTGGTATATATTAACGATATATTCTGGAGAATGAGTAATAGTGTTACGCTTATCTTTGCCGATGACATTAAAGTTGTCTACTCACAAGAACGTACAAATCCCCAGGCAGCCGTACGCCACATTCAGCATGACCTGTCTGCACTTGACTCCTGGTGCCAACCGTGGCAGATGTCATTTGCCGTGGACAAGTGAATTATTTTGGCGTACAAATGCCAAGTTCCTCCAGACAGCCTATTGCTACAAGGCACGTACATCTCGCAATGCAGAGCAGTTCGCGACTTGGGCGTGCGATATTCAGTTGCCTTTAATTCTTCGGAACATTGTGACTTTCAAGTTTCGAAGGCCATAAAGACCATCGGATAAATATGCACCATTTTTACCTCACGGAATCTCGCATCTGGCCTTACAAAACATATGTATTGCCTTGTATGGTATACTGTTCATTAATCGTTTAATCTGCGGAAATCTGACCAGCATGCTCTTGAGAGGCGCTTCATGAATTAGCCACGTGGCTATTTCTCAAAGATGACATACAGAGAGCGTTGCAGTAAGCTTGGATTTGACCCATTCTGGTTTCGGAGAATGAAGCTGAATCTGTTTTTTTACAGTATCATAAACTGTCAAACTCACGGTCTTGATAACGGCGTTCACATATCTTTAAACAACAGATATCCAATACTTAACGGAGATAAAAGTTATGATTCCAAAATTGAAAAACGTTTCCTTCTAATTCACTACTCAAAGAGTTGGAACAAACTTCCGAGACATCAGAACATGTTGTAGACTGCTTAATTTTAAGTTTGCGATTAGTAAGCAGTTAGCCGTCCAAAACGTGGTTAATATGTTCGGGACATCACAATCCCTAGAGAACGCTTTCGAAAACTGTATCGATGGTGCCTGAATAAATTTTTAAAACACATCTTGGACCACAGCCCTCTCATTTCATTTTTCTCCCCACCCGATCACGTGATTGTGAAGAACCCTTGTTCAACGACAGGAAGAAATAGGTGAACAATTCTGATTACTTTGCGCTGCCTAAATTTTAAATTGCGCCCATGTTTATTCTTGAAAAATTATTAATGCAATGACATGAAAGGAAGTACCACTATCTGATCCATTTTTCCTGGGGAACAGCTCGCATCGTCGAGGAATATACAATTTATTCATTTACAATCGATCGTGTACAAGCTGCCAACTGCCTTATTTAAATAGTGTATCAGATTCTACTGGCCCAGGATTTGCAACCATAATTTTAATGCCGTAAATGCAAAAGGCATCCGGTGGGGTGCAACAGAACGGGTCACTGAGAAGGATGTCTTTTTTTGGAATCCAAGACCCACTATTTGGTTCCTTTCCCCCATACCCGAGTGAAGCAATTCTAGTAATCGAAATTGAACGTTGTAGATGCACCTGAGTACCGATTGCTTCAGTTGGTTGGCTGGTACATTAATGTTTATATTTTGTCGGTCAATGCACAATAACAGAAATTAACTGTTTCTGTAGAGGGATATTGGTGCAAAATGAGATTCCATACAGAGATCACATTCGGTAATTCAGGATATTCATGTTTCGAACTTGGTCGACAACTTAAAATGTGCTTGTCACTCGTTGAGGAGCAATCATTTGCCTTATGGGATTTAGTACTTTTGCCAACCACTATGTGTTGTTATGATACGACAAATTCCTTACTTCCAGTATGGGGATCGGTGGTGTGTCTGGTTTAGCTACTTTGTGGAGGCCATATAGGCGGGGAATGGTGGAGCCTGTAGGTCGAATTTGTTCCTACGTCACTCTTGTTATGAAGACGTCGCTTACTAATTATTTTAAACAGGATCATTTGGATTTCTGTTTAACCCGTCTTGTCTTTCTGGTGTTCACATTTGCCGACATTAGAACTGCGACACAATATAAGCAGCCCTTGGTGGTTACAATATGCTTGAGACCAACCATTACCCTTCACTTTGCAGTGAGCCATATATATCGAAAGAAACTCGCACAGACAGACGGTCAAACAACTGTACTACCTATGCAGCAGCATAGTACTAGTTGTACAAATATGGTCTGCGCGGATCATGGACAGTCTCTCGCCTGGTAAGAATGTATCATAAGTGGACACTCAAGCGCGGTGTCAATTTCTCACCAAACACCGACTGGTGGGTTCAAGTACTGCTCGCCCGGTACTCCAAGTAAATGTAAGCGGTACTCCGCAAGCGCCGGTGGTCTAGGTCTGTATTGTCCACGACTCTTTACCTGACTTGATTCGCCAGACACCGCTTTCACATGCCCTTAGTTCTCACACATTCAACATCTTCATATTTATCACAGGAACGAACGCTGGCCATACGCAGCATCATTTCTCAGTTGGCCAACGATACGGGAACTCTGCCTATTTCCATTTGCTCTCGACCTGATTTGGTCAATGTGCATTCCGCTGCGATCCCCGTCGCATCAGCGAGTGAGTTCACGCTACTGAGCAAATTGACAAGCGCCCAAAGTGATGCAATACAATGAAAAGCAAACGAAATGGTGAAGTCCACAATGTCGCCTTCCTCGAAGTCAGGCTGAATCAGCACATCGGTGTGCCGGAGGCTGATCAGCTACCAAAGTGGATCTTACCGACGTGCATAGTAATCTGCCGTCGTCATGTATTCTCTTACATGTAATAAAACATTAATTTCACAATGTTCTCCTCTGTTTACGATATCTTTTGTTGTTAAATATTACGTAACGCCTCGTGACGGCTGAATTCATCGCACTTCGGCGTTCTGACTAGCTGTGTTGCAGTTCAGGTAATGACGAAATACACCAAATGATACGAAGTCGGATTCTCCCATTTAGCCTCCCTATCACCACAGAGCGAGCAGCGCAGACGATGTCGTGATAACATGGCACATATCACAAAAGACCACCAGTTTTCTTACCTGGTGTGGGTCAAGTTTTTGCACAGTCAACAAGCACTAATTACTACATATTTGGGTTGGCAAAATTTATCAAATTGCTTCCTCAGATATGCAAAGAACATGTGTTTCTTATGCGTGCTGATCTACTGTGGAATTTAGTTTAACCTGCCTGCTTGGGTCTGTATCGGTGGAAAGCCTCCATCACAAGTCCGTTTCCTTTGATCGTCAAGCTGGCACCCAATGCCTCGTTTCAGCCACACGTTATGCACTCGTCCCTAGTTGACAGTGTATTTTGCGCTGACGCTAACATGCATATATCGCATTTCGAAGCACTACTTGATCTTCCACAACACAAACGCGAAATGACACGTCTCTAATACATTTACCCATCCTGGTCAAGTTTAAAGAAGGTTGCGAACTTGCACGCATCTAGCTACAAAGCTTGTCGTTACCTCCCTGTAAAATAGGCTGTTGCAGAGGGTTGTCCGAATTCCGGCCGCGTTAACATTTCAACAAGCTCGCGGCCTCATCATGAAATGATAAATTCAGACTTGGACTTTTTTCGTACATGTATACTTTCTGTTATTAGCTTAATGTTAACCTGAATGTGGTCCGACATATTTTTACCTCACAAAATGTGACCCTCCTTGATAAAAGTTTGGACACCTCTGGTTTAGGCAATGAAAACTCAAGGTAGTAGGAAGGGAAATTTGTACTGACAAATCGTTCTGCAAGCTTACTTGCAAATAGTAGACTAATGAATAGGGGATCCAACCCCTTAGTTTGGGCGGTATTCATTCCACATAGTTAAGCAGGCAAAACAATATATGGAGTTGTGAGTTCGTTGGTTATAATACGAGCTGTATACCTGGGCCGATGCAAGAAGCAAACCTGGCGTAATGAGAATTACACGTGAATTGTCAGTAGTATAATTTAGCCACAAATTTGTACTTAACGGTAGTAACTAGTCGCGACGGTGCGGTATTACAGTCCCTTTCTTAAAAGGTTGCCACCAATTGCACTCTCATTTATCAGATGGAATAACCCGTTGTCACAAAACCAAAGCATTACTGCAAGTTTACTTGGCTGAAGGTCAGTAGTATTTTGCTGACAATAAAGCAATCGTTCGCAGCTTGATAAGCGCCTTCATAAATTGTGTGGTCTACAGTGTCCCACCATATGGTTATTGATGACGTCCCTCACCGGGTTCAACAAGTTATACAGGAATTTAATCCCAGCCAATGCAGCCCGAAAATGCGACGACCGTGCACCGTCTGATAAGAAATACTCGTGACTCGGGGAAGACCGAGTAGAAATGGGTCTCTACGCTGTTGGTAGATTTTTTCTTCTTAGGTAGTTAATAAGTCGAATGTTTTTCCAGCAAGGTGACATGAAGTATCTTTCAAACACCGTTAGTGCTTGAACCAATATTCGACTTTGAATGGGTAGAGTGGGGCGTCTGGCCTGAGCATGAGCTGGTGAGACGGCGGTCGTCTGATTGCGATAGGAGGCTAACGAAGATGCTGAGATCAAACGCCTCAGCATCACGATGAACATTCACCACGAAAGTGGAAAGCAAAGGACAGTTGCTCGGAGTAGATGTTGGTGCTTTGGTTACTGTAATGTGCACCACCTCCAAGGAAAATCGCTTATATTGCCTTTTTGTTAAGGAAGCCACAAATGTCGTTTAACAAGCAATGCGGCATCGATCAACATTGTTCAGAGATATTGGTTTTTGTGGTATTCGCATTGGTGAACGTTTGTACAAGTCTCTCCGAGCTCATTTAGATCATATGTCTCCCGACCGCATCCAATGCTGTGAGATATATGTTTACCAGAAACCGGAAGATGTGCTCACCAGGTATCCTGATGTCTGCGAATACCAACTAGGAGAGCTAGATGGAAACGGGGACGATATGGAATTAAGATATGAATCTGGGATCCGTTTCGTCAGGACACGCATCCTACCGCAAAACAAGATCAGTAAATAAGAAAGGAGAACGACCACTACAATCCCCGCAGTGAGTGGAAAACGTCAATAGCCACTACTATGGAGCCAAATGGTTTTGGGGGTAACTGTAGCGACTATACAATGGGCGCCTTGAATAAAGGGAATGTACGTTATTGCACAACCAAATATTTACTATGTGACCCGTGCGCACAGTCAAGCTGTATTAGATGAAACTTACTGCGCCAGCACTGCAGGAATTACTCACATGAACTTGCTTCGACAAGTACTCTGCGATGTAGAACTAGTTTAGTCACAATACTCATCCAAAGGGTTCTTGAAGATCTTAGCGGAAGAACGCGTGTTGTACGCTTTCGAAAGATATTCAAAACGGTGAGGTACAGTTCAACTTGGTCAAATAATCGACAAGTTATATGGGGTCCGAGAACCAATCTGACAAAGTGTAAATTGGGTGCACGCTTCTTTAGGCGAACTTTCCGAATGTATTCGCCGAGTTGTTCGGTATGAAACGTTAAAATTCAGGCTGAATAGCAGATGGAAACAGGTGTAAAAAGCAGTGACAAACGTTGAACACCAGGTTCAGGTATTCGTAACAGCACCAAGTAAAAGAAGGTATTTAGGACGTGTTTAGTTCATAAAGAAAAATCGCAAGGCTGCATAAAATATGGGGGAATCATTGCACACAAGAACTCCGTCGTGGCGACGCCTGAGGAGGAAATCACATGTGCGCGGATATAGGTGTGGAAGCCCGCCGCTGCGAGTACTCGCAGATGATAGGAACGGATCGAGTCGCGTTACATTCAGACTCTATTCCAAAAATCGGATGCACATTTTCTGTTCGATGTCGACGTTGTCGAACGCCTGTGTTCAGAAGGGAAGATAGACGGAGGTTGGACGTGTTGCTTATGGTGTCCGTGCAACGGAGCAACGACGTACTGTTCACAAATATAACGAGTCCAGAATTGGTATTTTCATACAACAGGTTTAGGTCCAGTGGGCGATCACTCGATTTCATAATTGTTCAACAATCGTAGTTTCACATAAAATTAACGTCAAATCGTTGCAAAGGCTACATTCAGTGACGAGGATTTGTAATACCTTAGTGATCAAGTATTCCAGCTTAAAAAAAACACAGTTAAGGTAGTTATGTGGATCATTCCTGATCTTAAATTCGACTATTGGATGGTAGCTCAGTGCAAAACGGTGGGTAGCTAAGGAAGCCACGGTATGTATTACGCGTCACAGCATAAGTCATAGACGATAACTATATGTTTTGAATCTATGGCCAGCGATGAACGGTGGAATACAAAATCTTCGAATGTGTTTGCAATGTAAAACACTCAGTCCGTCGAACGATTCCCACCGGTGGTTAGTATCATTCAATGCGCAGAACTACGAACGCTGATCTCAATCAGCTCCTCTGGGAGTATTGCGATGTCTGTTGGACGCAGCGGGTCATCAGGATGTAACAACGGTCAATTCGGGAGACTTCAATTAGCTTTTCTTCTCCATCTTCACTGGAGACAAGAACCCCCATGTAACAAGTGTTGTGCAGAACTAGCGTTGAGCTAATCCACTGCCGACATCTACCTGTGCGCCGAACCGAGCATTTCTATCAGTAGTCTAACTGGGCAACAGAACTGATAAGCTCTCACTCATGAATCCACGGTACCTCCTAAGTCCCTACAATTCTGTTGGATCCGACGAGATCCATCCGATTATTTTCAAAGATGGAGACTCAAAACTCATCCAGTTTTGAACTTCTCCATTCTCCAGAAGATTTTGATCTCGGAAATACCTTAGTGGATATGGCGCTCGTCTTCAAGAAGGATAACACTACAGACTGCGCTAACCATCGATGGATTATTCTCAACTGCCTTGCGTCCGATTTGCTCGCCGCCCTGCCTTTAAGGAGGTTCAGGCTAATTTGCGAACAGAACATACGTTAAGTGCCCTTTTAGGTAGGAGCTGTCTCGAACACATCTTTAGGATCGGCCATATACCCAAACGTCATCAAAAGTTAAACCGGGCAACGATCGTTATCTTTTTAAACACGAGCAGCGGTTGACTCAGTTGACCGAGCTGCTCTCCAAAGTTGTCTGTTAAGAGGGTGAATGCCTGAGAAGTTTGTTAAGATTTTTCACGCCATTTATTCTCAAACGTCGTCTCAACTGCGGGTGTATCACCAATGGCGTAGGACAGAACTGCCCAGCACCACCTTTCCTTGTCAACTTCGCAACAGATAACATTGTTGAGAATGCTCTGGACGATTGCGAGCCCAGTGATATCCGACTCCTTCAGAGGTGACCGACTTCGCGACTTGGAGTAGGCCAACGGCACCGCTGTAATTTGCAATTCCTAACAGGCCGTCAAAAATGTGCTGTGTATGTTAGATGTGTCTGTATACCAGTTCGGAGTGACCTTGCCACACCGAATTATGACGTCCTGTAAAACTGGCTAGGAGCTACTTTTTTCACTGTTTCGGGTTATTCTATGGAAGTTGTAGACAACTTTGTTTATTCCAAGAACTGCCTCAGTGCTTGAGGTATGACGGATGCGGTCTTTTTGCACGTCTCTAAGGGTTGGGTTGACTGTCCAATCTCAGCCACCTCTGACATCGACACGACGTGAGCATATTTGAGACCCGAGTCAACAAATACTACGGTAAGAGCGGTTGTGCTATATGGCTGCGAAGATTGGCCCGTTCAGATGCCATCTGGTTTCAGTTATCGCCGCCTTCGGAGCATCGCTGGTGTAACATAGCAACAGTATATTAATACGATCAGACAGTCTCTGCCGACTGCTGATCTCCAAAATTTTGCAACACGGGCTTCGGTGGTATGGACACGTGTGTTTGCATGTCGGCCCAATGCTTACCTCGCAGTGCCATCTTTGCGTTAGGAGAAGGCGGTTGGAAGCGTAAGCACGGTGACAAACGAATTAAGCACTCGCAAACTAAATATTCGGAGTTGAAAGAACCTGGACAAGTGGATAAGATCGACGATTGAATGATAGTTTCTGTGTGACACTGCATCATCACCAGGCACAGCAGGGAGAACATGAGATAGATCGACCAAAATGATCCCTACATTTCTGAGGTAAACTGCGTGTGGGAGGGTAGGAAGCACATGAGCAGGACGGAAGGACAGTGTGTTAGTATAAAGACCGCGCTCAGCATACCTTAACAAAGTCGTCATAGGAAATATAACCATCGCCATCCAGATCTGCTTCTGCCAAGGTTCGATCCCCGATGTTGTTTATCTGCAAGCAAACGAAAGTGTAACATGACGGTAGTCGTACTAGGTGATAACTAGATGGCAATCAACTTAATTTAGTGATACGCTGTCACAGAGAACAGCGCAACATGGGGGAGGGTAAATAGTGCAGACAGCAGCCACGCTTGAAATTAGGAAAACTAAATCGATAATCGCGAGGAAAATAATAGGACATGTGAGTAAATACGAACCACAAAAAGTTATCAGCAACCGGATTAGATGATACTCTTGCAATGGTTATTAGAACACTCCGTGACTACCTGCTACAGTGAAACGCGATGAACTACCTGCTGCCGTGAAGTAAGTACCAGAGAGTGGGGCACTACAGGCCGGTCCACCACTTCACAATGAAGCACTGTATTCTCGTACCTTGGTTTTTGTAAAAATACGTGTGATTAGTTCACACGCCATCTCTATCAACATCACTTTACCACACTTTCGATTAGACCACCCCTGATACTAGGTTCCAGGGTGGATTGTCTGAGGGCGTGATTGCGGTTACGATGGTATAACACTCTGATGCGCGATCGAGTGTTATCGGCCAAATTTGTAAGTTGCAGCTCTAGCGGGTTTCCTTTGTTTCCGGTTCTCGACATCTTTTGCCTGCATGGCACACGATCATAAAATCCCCACCAACTGTTGCTATGCACTCGTCCTTGGCCAAGACAGTCGTATAAGCTGGCATTCAACGTCAGTGATACACTGAGCGCGCATAGACGAGTGACAGTATTTGGTTCATCATCATCCTCAATATGCCTTGATTGAGAGTGAGAAACATACCTCGGTTTTTGTGTCGCTGGCCCGTAGTCTTAAGGTAACGAGTTTGTCTTGTAATCCAAAGGCACGGGTTCCGCCTGCGTTGGGGCAGGGCGACCCTCGCAGTATCATTAGCCCACATGAGACAGAGTGGTTGCGCGGTAGCGAAACTTCGGTAATTGTTGTAACGCCGCCCTCACCTCCGCACTGCGCTGCCAGACGAACCCAGCAGGGTCAAATCAGAACACTGAGCCTGTCTAGACCGAAGTAGATTAGACACAGAATACACAATCTTACATCGCCTGTCTGTCACCGAGGTAAAAACCACATATCTTGGCTGAACAGATTCGACCCTGATAGCCGCCTTCACTGTCTGACTGTAGGTAGGGTCACGTCCGCACCATAACAAGCATGCGATGATGGCGATTTGATTTCATCAGCTTCCGGCGTGATTCAGCCCTGCTACTGCCGGTCGGGTAGTAACTCGTATCATCCACACAGACGTCTCGAAATCGTGTCACGTCCTGTGGCCTGCTGGAATGCACCATCGTAGTCAGTCGTCTCGCTTCAGTTACAGTACTCTGTACCGGCGTACTGCTGATGTCTTTCTCTATTTCTTATTTTTTCAGCTATCCAATTTTCAATTCAAGTAAGAGTTCTATACACCCGGGGGTGGATATTCAGCTGTTACGCACACGCCTTCAGCACTGTAGAAAGAATACATACATGTCAATGGTCTACGGAAGGTGAAACAAAGAGCTCTGCCACTCACAACGGCTGATGGACCAACACGAACGGCTACGGAAGCAGCAAACCCGCTGCGGATGCAATATACCTCCACCTTCCAGAGGGAATAACCATCAGGAGATCGTCCAACTTTTATCGCCCTGCCACCATCACTCACTCACATCTCTTTTACTACCGAAGGTGACCACTCTGCGCAAGCGCAAATCCCCGGGTGTCGATATCATTCGCCCAAAGGCAATAGGAGCAGCAGTAAGTCAACTGGCAAAGGGATTTGTTCAGTTTTTCCAGCGCTGCTTAGACCAGCACCAAGTTCCTGTCATGTGGAAGTTTGGAATAATAACACCTACTCACAAAGGTGGGAGGAGAACCGAGGCTTCAAGCTACCGACCAGTTTCCCTTCTACCTATACTGTCCAAGATGATGGAATCCATCATAGCCGATGCGCAAGTAGGCTATTTGGGAAACTCAAAGATTATTTCCGAGCAGCACGGCTTTCGTCGAAATCAATCGTGCACAACGAATTAGCTAATAACACGGAGTAGCTGGACCCAGTCAATTGACGCCGGAGAAGACGTTGTTGCGATCTACCTGGGTTTATCGAAGCATCTGACAGTCTAGATCATCGGATACTCATTTCCAAGCTACAGCGTTACGGGATCAGTGACCCTCTTCTAAGTTGGATCGCCAACTATCTCTTTCAGCGGCAATTGGTGGTCAGAGTTCGGAGCTCCTTCGCTGACCCCATACAAATGGAATGTGGTGCTCCTCAAAGCTCGGTACTAGGTCCCCAATGTTTTGGTATTTATCAATGACCTCACACAGGCAAGCACATCTAACTTCCTGCTGTTTGCCGATGACGTCACGATTTGGCGCAATGTTCAGGGAAATACTGACCAGCAACTGCTTCAGAGTGATCTAGATACGGCATTTCAGTGGTCCATGCAAAATTCACTGCAATTCAATGTGAGTAAATGCAAAGTGCTCTCCATATGACACCAGAGCAACCACTGTTACAGGCTCGGAACGCATGTGCTGCAGCGAGCTGCCACCGAACATGATTTGGGCGTACTGGTTCAGGATGATCTGGGTTGTTCCAAGCAATCCGCGAAAGCCTCCGAAACTGGTAACCAACATGTGGGCCTATCACGACGAGCGTTTGGACAAACAGATCGCTGTATTTTCCGACCTATGCTTATCCTCATGTCGAATACGCAATTCAAGCCTGGCACTCATGGCTAAAACACGACCTCAGTGCACTGGAACAGCCTAAACGTCGAGCACCAAAGTACGTTATTGGAATGCATCATTTTCCATGCGAGGTGAGGTTGGAACGATTGGGGGTATTCAGGGGAGATTACCGCCGCTTACGAGGTGACTTGATAATGATGTACTTAATTCCGCATGATCCACATCATGAGTGCCGCTGTTTACTGCAACCGCAGTAATACCAACTTGAGCTGTACCTAAAACTGGCGCAGGAATTTCTTTTCCATCCGCGTGTGTCATCCGTGAAATGCTCTTGCAGAATCGGTCATTACTGCACCATCACTATCTATATTAAAAAGACGTTTGGATGACTCACTTATTCACTTCCGGTTTGTTACCTAGTAATACATATCCATCCCACTTCCGGAACATACTTTAGATTTATTTGCTGTTACATGCTTGTGCTGTGAAACTATACGGATCGCAAGGCTACAGCGAAACAAACGATAAGTCCCTCTTTTAAATGTAAATAACCCAATGCCTTTTTTTACTTTTTCGATAAACCTGCAAAACTACCCAACGGGACATGTAAAGCATTGCTTCTTAACCCGTATAAATTCAGCGTTCATTGTTAATAAGCAGCGAAGACAGCAATGTTGTTGCAATGTAAATCTGCTCGTAAGCTCCATAACGGCTAAGGTCTGGTTGCACAAAAAGCGCGCCAAATATGGGATTACGGATGAGCGGTAAGCTTTTGTACGGGAATAAACGGATCTGTACTTTTGTCTAGTTGAGGAAGTTGATATGCAGTCAGACAGTGCACCATAAAGGATATGACTTGCATGAATGAGTATTTTTTAGTAAGCTTTTTGCTTGAACTGGAATGAGTAGATACAACAATGTCAATAAAGGTCGGATTTAGTATACCGCTACATCGAGACAGTTGTGTCAATGACCTAGCTAGGATAATAAAATGCTTCTTTAGGCAAACGGGGAATGTCCAGCGAGGTAAGACACAAAGGGTGATAAAATTAGACATCGGAAGTAAAAGCGTGCGCAATTTAAGCATTAACGGCTTGTGGCCTACACTAATAGTCACAAAGTCATTGTGCTCCACACTGTCATAGATTTTCGCAGCAACACAGTCATCCAAACAGAGTCCCAGCACAGTCATCAAACACTCATTCAAGTAGGATTAATTTCCCGTAATTAGTAAGCACGTTTTATCGGAGGTGTTTTTCTATGGACGGTGAGTTGTGCACCCCCAATTGTTTTAGTACGCTTCTTGCTCACAACACATGCAACTCTGTTGTTATTTAACAACTTTCCCTGCTGCGAAACTGCGCTCGAGAAAGTATTCACCGCACTATACAGCAGTTTTAGAACTAATCTTACAGGAACATTTCCAAATAAGCTGCGACTCAATTTATGGTTTCGATTGCATTCGCCCATCACCGACACTTAGTCGTTGATATCCACTTACTAAAAGCCAATTTAAACGGCTTAACTCAACAGGAACCCTGATCGATCAACAAGGCATCCAAACCGCGTGTGCAGCTGCGCCGTTCCCGTGACACGCCTACCTAATATATCTTGCTCATGATCAGGCAAGTATTGTTGCCGACAGATTAAGTCTGTCGACATCCAAAATGGCACCTTCGAGCACTTCGGCATAATCTAAGTCGAGAAATCATTTACCAGGGAGCAGCTCCACACTTTCTAAGTCGTGTCCGCTGAAGGTCGCTTTCATGACTTCATTAATATCGAAGTTACAGAGGAAAAGTGACAGCGGGCAACCTTGTCTCACACTGCTGGATATATGAAAGGACGGTGAAAACTTGCCGTAAACCCTCGCTTTGCCCGAATTATGCGCGTATAGCATTCGGATAATACTTAGATACTTAGCGAGCACACCTGTCTCGAGTTGACAGTTCCAAATTGCATATCGATCAACCGAATCAAAGATTATTTTGATATCTAGGAACAGAACTGCGGTAAGTCGCCAATACACATGACTGTGCTCCAACGACTGACGTAATGTGAAGATGTGGTCAATGCAGCCTCGATTTCGATGAAACCCGGCTTGCTCCTTGCGAATCTGGCGGAGGAGCGCGATTAGTTAGTGATAGAAGTCGTCTTTCACCGAACCATTGCCATATATTGTGGGCGCACCGTTTGTCCCGGCGCAACTTCGATGCTTTGGAGAAGTCAGTTAATCTATCAGCGTACATCCGCCTGTTCATGGAGATCCAATCAATCAAGACAGCTTCAGTCCGG